CGTCATTTACTTACTTGTTATCTTAAGAAATGTGTAGTAGTGCATTTGACAAGCTCTTGCGTTCGTTGCAATAATATTTACTAGAGCGGTCTCGCTTGGACGTTAAATAAGCCTTTCTCTGGAAGTAACTCGAGTTTTTATTTCTTTCATTTTCTTTTTTTTTAGATTAGATTTTCTCTGACGGAAATGTTTGTGTGCCCCTTGCTAGGTACATAACTTGATATACTCTTATGCAATGGTTTGGATAAAGAATCAAGGAAGTTTGATGCCTATTTTTGCTAGCGTATGGAAACCAAGATTCAATTCAAGAGGAAATTGGCTTTGAAAGGTTAAATTGGTTCATTTGCGGGTATTTACATGATCTTTCCTAGCACTTTCTCTAATGGTTGGTGACTTGTGGACATGTGTTGGTTTATTGGGTTGATTTCTTTCTTTTCCTTTCCCATAGATTATTTGGGTTATGTTTGAGCATGTTGTCTCATTCAAGCTTAGGGGGGGGGGGGGTATTCTATCATGTTTGGTGGGATGCTGATTCATGTATGTCGTGCACTTTAGTATACGCATTTCCATGTCTTTTCTTTTATTTCGAAAAATCCAAGAAGATTTTTGGTTACATTTAAGGTAATTTTGGCAAAATATGCTTTGTTAGTTCTTGTTTTGGACATTCTATTTTGGGCCTTGTATTCTTGAATGTTTTTCTTCCTAAGTGGCAAATGTGGGCGCGGTTTGAGAGTGTCATTGGTTGACTCTAGGATACTATATGCTAAGGTAGCCAGTTTAAGAACTTTTGGGTTTCATGAAGCCTTAGTACACGGGAATGTGGTAAGATGAAGTTGCTCTCTATAGTGGATTTGAAGCCCTTTAAGTTGTAATTGCTTTACATCCCTTGTGAGCTTCATTTGTTCTAGCCTTCATCACCTTGTTGAGTGGTAATTAAGGATACTTAACTATGCATGTCTTAATCCTTGGTTTGACCTCTAGATTCCCGAGATCATGATCGAGCCACTCTAGGGGAGAGGACAAAGGCATTGTTTATTTTCTTTTTCTTCTTTTTGTTTTGTTACATATTTTGTTTTTATTTTGCATTTGCTCCTCTTGCTAACCCTTTGAGCCTATTCCTTTTCTTGATTATGAGCCACATTACAAGCCTAATGACCTCTCATTTCTCTAACTATTAGTTTTGTGAAGCATTTTGGTTTGAGAGTTTGTTTTGTGTTGTGATGGTTTAAATGAAAATGAGAAAGCAATATGCTCTTTTAGACCAAGCAAGAAAGTAATTTGTATATTTTGTGTGTAATAAAGAAAATGCATTTAAGAAAAAGCCGTCCATAGTTAAAAAAAGGCAAGGAAACCAAATAAAAAAAATAATTCAGCAAAAAAAAGAATAAAAATCCATAAAATTTAGAAAAGATTCTAAACCACAAAAATATTTTAGTTGGTTTCGTTTTTCTTCCCTTGTTTAAGTATTGAGGACAATGCTTCGTTCAAGCTTGGGTGGGGAGCGTTACTTCGTTTTTGTATATATTTTGTGTTGGTGTTGAGTAAGCTTAGGGGATATGGCATTATTAGTATTTTAGTTTGAGGTTTTGTGACTTTTAGAGTTTGTTTATGAGGTTTGATCACCCTTTTGCTTAACTTAAAAAATTTCACCAAATTTTCAATTTTTTACCCCGTCTTGACCCCTGGCCTTACGTGAAAACAAATAAAAGACCTTAGACCCTTGAGGGTTAAGTCAACATCGGTGGAGGGAGATAGTTTTCTAGCCTTTGGAGAGAGTGTGCATGGCTAAGATGTCTGGATTACCTTCTCAAAGTTTTTCATTTTCTTTATCTTTTTCCGGTTCCTTTGAGGAATCATGAGAAACTAGCTTAAGGGTTGATTTGAAGCTAGTGGAGAGAACGTGGACCGATTGGTTGGGGATATGGTGGATTGAGTCCTCATTAGTTCTCTACGCTTAGCATATTTTATGTTTCAATCAACCATTGACATCTTGAAACTTGCATACATTTATCTATTTAGAAAGGTTTGCATTCGTTGGATTGGTGCTTGCTCTTATCTCTTGTCCAAATATGAACTTTGAGTTTTGTTTCTCTTTTTATGTTTCTTTTTCTTTTCTTTTTATTGCCTTTCACTAGTAGAAAATAAGTGATGGGAAGCCCCAAATGGCAAGCGGTTTTAAAAATCCACTTGCCATTCACCTTTTTTTTTAAAAAAAAAAACCTGTAATATCAAATGGCAAGCGGTTTTGGCGCGAACCGCTTGCCAATATATATAAGACAAGTGGTTTGGGGTTGAACTGCTTTCCATTACATATATTGGCAAGCGGTTCAACCCCAAACCGCTTTCCATTTAAAAAAAACCCTAAACCCGCGCTTTACCCCTCCTCTTTTATTTCTCTTCTCCTCTTTCTTTACCCCAGCTCTCTCTCTCTCTCTCATCTTTCATTTCGGCTGCTCTCTCTCACTCCTCTTTCTACTCTCGTTTTCCCCCTCTCTCTTCTTCCCTCTAATTCGCCCCTTTCTTCTTTCATTTTCTCTTTTTCTTTGTTCTTTCTCATCTCATCAAATTCGAACATAACTGGTAATTTCGAGCAAATTTTGAGGATAATTTCAACCAAATTTCGAGCAATTTCGAGCAAATTCGTGCATGCGTGTGGGTGTATAAGTTTTTTAGGTCAAATTCGACCATGAAAACTCTAGATCTAGAATTTTTATGGTCAAATTTGACCTTTAAAACCATAGTTTGAAGCCAAAATCGGTGGGTTAGATGGTCGTGGTGGGTTAGATCGATGGTTTTTTTTTTAATTTTTATTTTTATTTCGATTTAGTTTTATTTTTTATTTTAATTTTTTTTTGGTAAATAGAAAATATTATTACCAAAGAGAAAAGTTACAACTTACAGCAAGCTAAGTTATAACTAACAACAGACACCACAAAACCAAAAGAACCAAACAGACCCAAAGAAACAGAAAACTATTAAGACAACCTCAGGGAAGGGAGCTAGACAGAACCAGGGACCAGAACTGGACTCAAACTCCAACCACCTTCTAGGAAGGGTTCTGGAAGCAGGGACCAGACAAGACAAAACAGCAACAACAAAAATAGACATGCCTGAGCTTTCAAGACAACAGACCCAGAACCAGAACATCAAAAGTACAAGAATTTCCTATCAGACTCAGAACACCTAACTACAACCCTATACACAATTTCTCTGAAGACCACCTCAGCAGGCTGACAGCTACCAGTGATTATTAAACTGTTCCTCTGAAGCCAAATGCTATGAACAGTTTTAGCAAAGAACATCAAATAGAGCCTACACTTCCTGTTAGCTTTCCTGCAAAACCTTGAAGCCCATTGTTGTTCAAGCTCAAAACATTGCACTGTCTTCTGAATTTTCAGCAAATCAAGAATTTTCTGCCAAATTTCTCTAGAATAAGAGCATGTAAAGAATAAATGAGCAACACTTTCATCACAGTTCTGGAAAAAGAAACACAAAGGATCACAGTTAATATGCCATTGAATAAGCCTATCCTTAGTCACCATTCTATTCTTCAAAGCCATCCAAGTTATGAAAATGCTCTTAGGAGAAGCTTAATTGTTGCAAAAAAGTCTCTTCAGACTCACTTTATCAGCCTGAGGTCTTATTTTAGAGTACACTCTAGAGATACTCATTTTTCCATTATGAGTAACTGCAGGCCAACCACCAATGCTGTCAATAACTTCCATGCACCCTAGAATTTTCTTTAAAACCCAAGTGCACTTATTAGGAATAGCAGCAGACCAAAGATTCTTGTTGCTGAAATAGTATGTATGGACCCATTTAACCCATAAATTATCAGATTTATGAGCTAAATTCCATAAAATCTTGCAAACAGCAACTTTGTTCCAATCACTTAGTAAAGTGATATTCCAACCACCACAAACTTTAGGGAGGGTCATATGATTCCAAGAAACAGGAGATTTCTTAGAATAAACATTTTTGCCAGTCCAAAGAAACACCCTAAATCTAGATTCAATTTCCCTAAGCACTTTTTGGGAAGAATAAAGATCTGAGCCCAATAAGCTTGGATGCCAAAGAGAACACTTTTAATGAGTTGTAACCTTCCTGCATAAGAGAGATGTCTAGCAGACCAGTTATCAATTCTAGCAGTAATTTTCTCAATCAAAGGTCTACACTGAGAAATGGTCAACTTCTTAGAAGAAAGAGGAACACTAAGATACTTGAAAGGAAGGGTACTCCTACTCATCCCAAGAATAGCCTGTAAGTTATCTTTTTCAGCTTCAAGTAAACCACCAAAATAAACCTCACTTTTGCTAAGGTTAGCAGACAAACCAGAGGCACTAGAAAACTTCTGAAAAGCATTCAAAAGAAGCTGAATAGAGCCAGCATCAGCTCTAGCAAAGAGCAATAAGTCATCAGCAAACATCATATGAGATACCAAACTTCTCACATCTAGGGTGAAAATTGAAATTAGGATCATGAGTCATCTCTTTCAAACACCTAGGCAGATACTCCATACAAAGAGCAAAAAGGAAAGGAGACATAGGATCACCTTGTCACAACCCTTTTTGAGCTGGAAAGGGCTTAGAAGGAAAATCATTCACCATTATAGAATAAGAAACAGAAGAGACACATGTCATAATCCAATTAACCACCTTTTGAGGAAAGCCAGTTTCCTCAAGCACAATCTTAAGAAAGCTCCATTCAACAGAATCATAAGCTTTCCTCAAATCAACCTTGAGCATACATCTAGGAGTGATATATTTGTGAGTGTAACCCTTGATGAGCTCAGTAGCCAAAAGAATATTATCACCAATATGCTTCCCAGGAATAAAGTCAGATTGAGAATCACTAACAATAGATCCCACAACCTGAGCAATTCTATGAGTAAGCACTTTAGAGATTAATTTATAGACCATAGTACAACAAACAGCTTTTTGTTTGTATATGTTAGAATCCACTCTAGCTTTTTGTTTGTATATGTTCTCCTGAATATTGAACTACTGCTTAATTTGTTCAATAGCAGCAGCTTCTTGTAAATGTAAGTTTCCATTGGTAATATCAACAGCAAGCTTCTCTTGGATTTGGATTAAAGCAGAATTTGCTTGATCAACTCTATCATCAATATTTGCAAAATATTTGGTGTTTAAGCTCTTAAGACCTTGTTTAACAGTTTTCAAATTCTGCCAAACATCAGTCATAGCAGTGCTCTTAGACACCTTAATCCAACTAGCTTCAACAATAGAGCAAAAATCTTTGTGATCAGCAAGGCAATTCAAAAATCTGAAAGGCCTTCCCTTCCCAAGATTATGAGAACAGACCTCCACCAAAATAGGACAGTGATCAGAAAGTAAGGGAGGGAGAAAGATAGCTTCAGCAGAACTGTAAATAGACATCCAGGCTTGATTAACCAGACCTCTATCAATTCTAGTAGCAACCCTATCATCACCATGCCCTTTATTATTCCAAGAATAGAAAGAACCCTTACTCTTGATTTCACAAAAGTCCATGGTCTCAATACACTCTTTAAAGTGTTTCACCTCATAATCAGTAATAGGAGCACCATTAAACCTATCACCATCATGAAGAACAGAATTAAAATCACCAATGAGAACCAAGGATCAGAAGACACTGAAATGTTGCTAATACCAGTCCAAAGAGGAACCCTATCATGAATAGAGTGAAGACCATACACAAAAGTAACTAAGAAATGATGATATAAGTCTTTAGAACAAATATCAGCATGAACAAACTGCTCATGAGAAGAAAGAACAGTCACATTCACTTTGTCCTGTAACCAACCAACCCAATTCTTCCTTTATAAGAATGATAGTAATTGCAGAACCAAGACCAAGCTTTTCCAAACTTCTTCTATAATTTGACACAATTCTTCAGTTTCACCTTGGTTTCCAGAATACCAATTACATCAACAGATTGCTCAGAGATTAACTTCTTGACAGAAGCTACTTTATTAGGGTCATTAACACCATAATATTCCAAGAGACAACAATCATCCTCCCAGAGGGGGATTACCATCACCCCCGATAGGATCAGTGTGAGTATCTTCAAACAAAGAAGAATAAGGATTAGAGCTAGACAAATCTGGCACATGGTGAGATACACTAAAACTTCTATTCTTCCTGCCAACTATTCTCCAATCATAATCAGAATTAGCTTTGTGTGTAGTAGGAGCAGGAGTAATAACGGCAGCACCATGAACTGTTTTATTCACATCATTAGAGACAGGAATAGCAGCAGCAGTAGTAGGGGCAGGATTAGGCTGCCTAGGAGCCTAAACCTTAGCTTGCTCCTTAGTACCAGGCTGTTTCTTCTGAGCCTGAGACTTTTTAGCTGGAGCATTACAGTCATGACCTACCTTATTACACTTCTTGCAAAAAGGTGGAGACCACTCAAAGATAAGCTTCTGTTCAATGAGGTTGCCATCTGGATTCTCAACCTAAATACTCTTAGGCAAAGGTTTAGTAATATCAACTTCAATAAGCAATCTAGCAAAAGTAACCCTTAATTGCTTAGAAGTACAGTCATCAGCATACAGAGGCACCCCAATAACACTTCCAATTCTACTCAAGGTATCAACCCCCCAGCAATTGAGAGGAAGATTAGGAAGTCTCACCCATAAAGAAACAGTTCTGAGAACTTCAAAATGAAAGTCAAACTTATCACTCGAAGGTTTAACAATAGCTGCTCTGCCATAGAACATATGTGGACCAGCATTCATAAAAGTATGCATATCATAGTCATTTTGCATCTTAATCAAGAAGTAACCATCATCATGCCAAAATATATCAGGTTTAGCAATGGAATTCCAATTTTCAGAAATGTATCTATGCACAGCAGCATTGTAGGGTAATAACCAATAACATAGAAAACAACAGAGTATTTCCATTTAAGGTTACCTGCTTGCAATTCAGCAGTCTGCAACTGAGCAATAGACTTTCCATCCTTAAGAACAGGAGCAATAAAAGCCAGGGAAGCTCCTTTAGCAGTGAGTTTGGGATTAGATCTTGGATTAGCTTCCTGAGGCACCTCAGCACCCACAGAAGCACTATCAGCATTCTTAGGCACACCCATGCCATCAGTAGTAGAACCAGCTCCAGTATTCAATGGAACAGTAACTCTAGGAGCTCTAATAACTGATTGTGTTCGATTTGGAGCAATATCTCCAAAACTGAGACTAGCACAAGCATTAGGAAGCTGTCAATACCATTCAATTGAGCTGGATCTCCTTTAATAGCTCCAGGATCCAATGGAACAGTAACCCGAGAAACCCTCGTTACTGTTTCATTAGATTTCCGCAGAAAACTAGGTAAAACAGACTGATGATTCAATTCAAGGGCTCTAAGTTCAGTTCTAGTAATCTTACCAGCAGCAGAAGGATTCACCAGATAAGGAGGCGGAGTAATAAGTTCATCCATATCAGACTCCTCAAGGATCGAAGAAATGCTTGCAGAAAAACCATCAGCATTGAGTTGATTCAAGCCAGAATTCACTGAAGTCAAAGATGCTAAGTTTGAGAGTTGAGGAGTTGGAGTTGCCTGCTTCTTCTTCTTAGCCATAACCAATCAAACCGAGTGAAAAAACCAGCTCAGAGAATCGCCATGGAAGAGAGAAAAGTCAAGAAAAAGTCAACCCTTGTAGAATCTATTTTTGATTTTAATTTGATTTTTGGTGGGGGGTCATGGTGGGTGGGGGTCGTGGTTTGGGTTAGGTTCGTGGGTGGAGGTTGTTGTTTGGGTGGGAATCTGGTTTGGTGGGTGGGGTCGTGGTTTTGATGAGGGGTTTTTTGGTGGGTGGGGATCTGGTTTTGGATGGGGGGTCGTGGTGGGTGGGTGGCTGGGGGTTGTAGTTTCGGTGAGGGGTTTTTTTGGTGGGAGGTCGTGGTGGTTGAGTGGCTGTGGGTCGTGGTGCTGGTGGTGTGGGGTGGTGGCTGGTGGCTGTTGGATGGTGGTGACTGGTGGCTAGTGGTGTGTGGTGGTGGTGGCTGGTGGTGTTTGGTGGTTGAAAACCAAAATTGTAATTATTTTTAATTTTTTTTGTTAATTTTTTTTTGTGATTGAAAATCAGAAATTGTAATTTTTTTTTTGAAGAAAAATCAGAAATTATAATATTATAACAATTAATTAATAAAAATATTAATGTTTTTACATATGGTTTGATTATATATCAATTTAATTGAAAAAAACCAAAAAAAAAAATTAAATTTATTTTTAATACCCCTAATGGGCAGCGGTTTGGCGCGAAACCCGCTGCCCCTTCACTACAATTGGCAAGCGGTTCTGAACCGCTTGCCTTTTTAAAGACCAATTGGCAAGCCCCCTAAAGGCATGCGGTTCAGAACCGCTTGCCATTAGGGGGTTTGAACCGCTTGCCATTACATATTTTCTACTAGTGTTTGCCTTGGTTTTTGTCTAGAGTTGTGGGTTAAACTCTTAGGAAACCCTCACGAGGGCACACTCGTCCTATAGGGAGATCTAGGGGTTTAAATGACTTTTTTTTGTTGCTAAAATTGACCGTGATTCATACGAAAGTGAGTTAGTGTATATTATTTCTCTTTTTAGTTTTTCTTGCTTGAATAAATCATTCTCCTTATCTTGTGTTTCGTGTTGATTTGGGGGAGTTTGATGAGTGACTTTTATGTCCTTTTTTGTATTTTCCTTTTTCGATCTTTATTTTGAGTATTTTTGTAATTTTTAATAGTTTTTAGTTTAATTTCGTATTTTATTTTTATATTTCTTTCTTTATTATGTTTGTAGCTCAAGTTCTTAGTTTTTGTTTTTAATATTTTCTAGCTTCCTCTCGTTTTCTTATTTATTTTATTTAATTTCTTTTGATTTAATTATTTCTTTTGGTTTTAATATTTTATTTTACTTAAATTTTATTTTTTATTTTAATTTATTTTGTCTCTTAATAATACCCTCGTGTTTATGTTGTAGGTCGTGGTTGGTGTTCCGGGATTGAGTCAAAGGTGTCAGCAAGCTTTCAAGCCCCATAATCCTACCCCACCTTTTCCCTAACCTACAGCACACCTTCCTTCATATTTCCCCCGCTCCCTCAATTTTCCCACGCAACAGAGCAGGTCATAGCTGCAAGCTCCAATTTACCACCACATACCGCCACCAATTTCAACCACCAATCCCAGCCTACCTCAAACACCGTACCACCTCCTTTTTACCCCGCAACGCAGCAATTGGCCACCCCTCAACACCAAAGCACGAACCGCATCACTCAAACCCCACACCCAGACCACCTCCAAGAACCATGCAATTCATAGCCACTGCACCACCGAACTTAACCGCAACAAACACACAAACAGCCCACTTCCCCTGCATCACCTCACACCTATTCACCTCCAATTAGCAGCCACCAAACTATCTCACCCATTCTAGCCATGCAAACCCACAACAGACCCACCGAATTCACCGACACCGCAGTCACCTTCAGCCACCAATCACGACCGCCGCGCTCCACCCTTTGCTTCGCAGCTCAGCAATCGCAGCAATTCGTAGGCTCCAATTAGCCCCAAATTGCAAACCCATACGGTGCGGGCTCTCTGTATTACGAAGCGGTCACTCCTCTTTTATTCACTTTCTTCAATTTGAGGAAGAATGCAAAAGCGGACGCTCCGATGGGTGTGGCGGACTCTCCTATTGGGTCACTAGAAATCAGGTGATTTTCTCGTGAATCCTAATGTCTTGGAGATCCAACGGTTGAGATTGTGATTGATTGTTGATTATTGCGATGAACGGTGATGATTCGAAGGTTCTTGGTTGGATGATGATGATCAGAGAGCAAAGCAGTCACGAAATGAAGGAGGATTCGTGGTCCGATGATTTTGGGAAGATGTTTGGTTATATTTTCTTTTAATTTAATTTAATTTCTTTTTTTATTTCCTTTTCTTTTCATTACTTTCTTTTCTTTTATTTTTCTTTCATTATTTTTAGAAAAAATATCTTTAATAATCCTAACTATTAGTGATTTACTTTTAATAATCCCTTTATTATTTAATAATCCTAATTATGGGTAGTTTACCAACAATAGTCCCAACCGGTCAACACTAAGTCAATGACTGTTATAACAGGTTACCATGACACGTGTCATCATGTGATTGGTCCAAATTTTTAAAAAAAAAACTAAAAATCTAAAAAAAAAATAAAACTTAAATCTCAGCCACCCCTTTACCACCGTGAAACCCTAACCTCCACCTCCTAACCTCGTCGGCCACCACCTTAAGGCCACCAAAACCAACCGGTTGGTGAACTTAGACCCCCAAAACCACCAGCCGCGTGAATCCCGACCACTAAAATTACAATCCCAGCCAACCGTGACCCTTAAAACAACCAGCCCACGCTAACCTCCACCCCCAAAACAACCATCCGCGTGACTCCTAACCCCCCGAAATCACTAGCCTAGCCAACGTCGACTCCTAAAACCACCAACCTCTCGAACATCGACCCCCCAAAACCACCGGCCGCGTGAACCTCGACCCCCCAAAACCACCAGCCCAATTCGAGTTTTTAGGGTCGGGGTGGTCGTTTCAGGGGTCGGGGTGGGTAAGATAGGGTCGGTCGGCCGATGTAGGTGGATATGGGGGGTGGCCGCTAATAAGTGACATTTATGTCACTCTTAAGAAGTAGTTTAAGAGTCATTTTCTTGTTCGGTTTCTCTTATTTTCCCATTTTATTCTCTTGTTTTCTCGTTAATAAAAAAACTAGTTTATTTCGTTATTTTGGCACGTTTTAGTTCTTTTTATGATTTTATTAGTTTTAAGTTTATTTTGTTATTTTATTTGATTTTATTTACTTGTATAATTTTATTTAATTTTTATTAGTTTAGTGTTATTTCTTTTATTTTCTATTTTATTTTATTTATTTCCATTTTATTTATTTTATTTTATTTGTCTCAATTCCTTTCCTCGGTTTTGTGTGTAGGTGTTCGGGTTTCAAGTCAAGTGAGTTCGGTTTCTGGGTTGTGTCAATTGTCAATCACCAAACACCTACAACTAACTCACCTACTGCCACCACAACCAAATCAACCTACCAATTCACATTCGACCTGCAATTCCAACCACCAATCACCACCGCAACAATCAACCTCCAACCGCATCTCTACCTCCCATCAATCACCACTAAACCACAACCACTCAATTCCATACTCCCCTTCTCCAATTCACCTGCATTCAACAGCAACCAGCAACCTCCACCGCACCTAGCAGCCAACAATTGCAGCCTGCAATTCGCCCAACACCGAAACCACCATCAGTCACCACATTCACCCCTTAACCATTAAACCACCTGACCACCTTCCTTTGACGCCAACAATGGCTCCTCACAGCCACTCGCAACACCAAAGCACAAGTAACACCAGAGCAGCCCGCAATCAATTCGCCACCACAATCCCAAATTGACCACTGCAGCTATGACAAAATTACCTCCCTCACCAATGCGACAAACCACCAACCCACACCATCATCACCGCACCAATTGCAACCCTTCAATAAAGCGCCCAAAATCAGAGCAAATAGCAAATTCTCAAGGTTCGGGCAAACTGTTGAGGAGTTCGGTCGAAGTGCCAAAAGAGTCAAACATATGAAGTTTTCTAAATTGAAGAGGTGTGACCGAACTTACCCATGGTCCGATCGAACACACTCGTAGTTCGGCCACACCAACCCCTGGTTCGATCGAACCACTTCACGAGCTTTTCACATGATAATTAATAAGATCGAACGGTTGATATTGAAGGTCGAAGATG